TTCCAATCGATGCATCTTGCGTTTTGTACAGTACCTTCGGCACATTTTACTATGATCTCATACATCTGCACAAGCATTTGAAACATGCGACTGCCCACAACATTCACCTGAAAAGAAAGTGTGTCTACAGACGGCGCAGTCGATGGTGTGAAATCTACGCGCAAACGATACCGCACATGCACTAGCGAAGGAGAAAATCTGCTGATAAACAAGCTCCCGGATATAAATATCGTAGTCACATCAGCTCCACTTGCGTACTCCTGGAACTTCCGTAATACCGGACGCCGTGATAGTGACAAATTGTTATGATATTTCGAAAAAGACAATTGCGCAACTAATCGTCGTCGATGAGAAACTACGAACGTGAATGAAGAGTAAACAGTACAACCTATCTGGTTGAAAGACGTAACACATTTTGGAAAGCACCCATCCGTGAAATTTCCGAGCACATATTCCGACCACTCGGTGACATCTTCATTACGGACGAGATGCTGATCATGGAACTACCCATGAGAAACGGGAATCAGTACAGTAATTGTTCCTTCCAAGCACCATTTTTTCAACCAAAAGAATTATAAACCCATGAAGGCTTGAAATTTCATGGTGTACATGGTTAAACGGTCAACTAAGTTAATTTTCTCGTCCAATCCCAGACAAACTACATAATTGTTTCGATCAATATGAGGACGGGGGGTACACCTGTTGAACTGGATATCAAGCACGATAAGCAGTTCTTGCTGAATTGAGCTCCTACCTCATAAAAGATTCAGATTTAATATCACCACCTCAGAACTTCAATGACTCAGAAAACCTAAAATTGCTTCAAACCAGAAAGTAGACTGTCGGCAGAAAGAATCCATGTTTGCGTTTCCAAATAGCATGATGCAGGGATAACCTAAAATGATCTGTGACTGCTTTTAAGCTAGGTAGGTATGTAGTTGACAAACATGTAGCTACCCACAGAAACGAAAGAGACACGGTACAGATCGATAGACCCTCGTTTCCGATGAAAAAAAAAAAGTACACTTGCAAAAAATAAAACGGAATTGCATGCAGACCCTCTTCACTAGAAACGAAGTGCTGATGTCATAACGTATCAGCCTACGATCACTTAAGTGTCAAGTGTACCTAAGAATTGGAGAGAATCAAAGTTGGGAAGGCACACCAACCCGGGGCTGCCAAGAGATCCCCCGAACGCCATGAAATCAGGCAAGTGGAGGAGTGTTAAGGAGTTAACAGACGAGGAATATGAGAGAGCAGGATCGGATGGGAATTGTGAGGTCCGGTTCACCGCAACAGAGAGAGGAGGGAGCACTGTGCAGAAACAAAGATCGAAAGGGCAAGAGCAAGAGAAGGAAGGTGAGAAGAGCATACATACCTGGGACACAGGCAGGCAGAGAAACGAGAGGCGAGGGAAAGGGCAGGTTCCAGTGCAAATGACGTGGAGGTGGAGATGGCAGTGATGCGTTCGTTAGATTGCAGGCATCGGGAAAGCGAAGGGGTGGCGAGAGTCACGAGAGCAATAAAGCAGAAAAAGGAAACGGAACGGGGGAGGAGGAGGAGAAGGACATGGCAGTGCAGGGTAGAGCAGGGTTAGGGCTAGAGAGGGAGGAAGGGTTAGGGTTAGGGGCGAGGGGCATATTGTGAGCTGTCAAGGCCGCAAGACCGGGTGAGGAGACACAGCAAGACCGATGACAGATGATGGCATTGATGCATTTCCACCCAACCCAACAAAGTCATCACCTGGACTTTCCTCACTAACTGTCTCATTGCTGTGCACTTAACCCCCCTCCCTCCTTCCTATGTATGCTTCCACCTGCATTCACACCTTCGATGATGTGGTATTGATTCCATTGTTGTTTGTGTTGCCAAGTCTCCTTCTGTTAGGGTTGGGGAGGAGGGGCATCATAAATCTGCATCATTGTTTGTTGCATGAATCTGCTACACTGCATTGCATTGCATTTTGACCCATCATGTTTGTCCTTCTGTAATCACATCAATGTCCTTCCACAATGAGCACATATTGCATTGTAACCCCAACTCAGAACACTATGTGCTTTCTACAGATTATTAGGATTTAAGAATTTCCATATTGTTCATGAAATTATTACATAAAACAACATTTCCACACATCTAATATAAGGCTCCAGTCGGTAGTGTTCTTTCATCATCCAAAAGGATCAAACACCGCATTATTTGTTTGACTTGGTCTAAATTTTTTTGATTCAAAATCTTTAAAATTTATGAATTTTGAAAAGACTAGTTGTTTTTATCAAATTTTTTTTGCAAGAATACAGTCCTTTCTAGCTACTTTCAAGTATTATGCAAACAATTGTATCTTTTGAAATTTTTTTTTTTATATATTTTTACTTTTAATATTTAATTTTTATAATTCATTTTTTTTATATTTGGTGATATATATATATATATATACATACATATATATTTCTCACTTTAAGTTTATACAATCATTTTTGATTTCGGGGCAATCTCTTTTTATTTCAAACAGAAAAAAATTCTATTTCACATCTATACAATTTTTAATTTTTAAGTTCAATTAAACTAATAAATAAAATAATTATTCATGTATTTTCTGATATTTATAAAATATATATATATGCCAATTGTAAAGAATAACACAAATAATGATTGTTAGCTCTTTAAAAATCTTCTTAGTTACATAAAAGTAAATAAGATTAAATATTTTATATCTTAAAGAAAACATTGTTTAAATGTTTTTTGATATAGACGAACAAAACATGTATCTATCTCATCTTTATTTGAATCAACTTCTAGGCCTAATTTTTTGTATGCCTTTTGTTTTGCAAGGAATTTGTATTATGATATCATTTATATAGTGTTGTCTTCTTATTATAAATCATCTTTATTTAAAGAATGTCATAGTATCAAGTTAAAAAATACATACAACAACAACTTTAAAGTGATATTTAAGGTATATAAAATATTATGAAAAAAACTATAAAAATAAATAATTTACACTTTGTTTATTTTAGAATTCCAAAAAATGACTTAATTAAAATTTACAGCAAGAAATCATAAAATAAATAAAATACAACTATGTAAAGTAAAATTAATAAAACATGGTTTTTATAAACCTTGAATAATATATATATGTATATTAAGCTTGTTATATATATATATATATATATATATATATATATATAATTACTCAACTATATATATTCTTAAATACAATATCTTAAACTGCTGTAATATTTTGGTAATCTTGGAGCCACATAAAAAAAAGGTTTTTGATAAACGAATAATTGTTGTATTTAGATTAGCAAAAAGATGACAAAAATTGTTTGAGTTTTGTGGAATAGGTCAAGCATGGATAGATAGAAAACTGTTATCTTAAACAGAAATTTCCAAGTTACTCTTTCTTAATGCTAATCTAATATTATTTTTTCTTCTTTGTCCTAAGCATGGTCACCAATTTTTCTTGTTCATGTATGCTCTGTACTTCTAAAAACAATTGTTTCTTCAAAGATTTCTTTTTATATGCTCTCTAACTATCTAAGTGTATTTTGCAAAAACAATTGGCACTATATTCACTTACACATATATGAATATATATGTACGTATAAAAAATTTTAAAAATGCTCTTTTAATGATGTTTAATTTCCATTGTAATATTGAATTCACAATTTATTTGATGATGTAGCAAACCTTGTTATTAATTTTGTATGTTATTTCACTTGTGGTATAATTATTCATAAATATTACTTCACATAAATGTATTTGATAACTAGGGCCCCTGTACTTATTTTTATCATTTAAAATGTTTTTAAGAACAATTATTAATTTAAAGACATTGGTATAAATCATGGTTTAGTAGAGTAATAATACATATATATATATATATATATATATGAATGTGTGTGTCTGCATGCATTTAATAAATTGACTTAAATATAATTGATTTAAAAAATTTAAGAAAATAAGAAAATAAGAAATAAAAAAATAAAAAAATAAAAAATTACAAAGCTTAAATTACTTAAATACCAATCAATCAATGGGTGTATTATTCTAGTTTTGAATTCTAATTTAATGTATGTACGAGTTTTATTTATTTTTTTATTAGGATTTTACGAATTGTATGAATTTAATATTTTGAAGAATATCTTTGTATGATTTGGAAAAAAATTGAAGACTTCTTAAGTGTGAAAGAACTTTCAATGTAGTCTGTCTGGGTCTGTATTGTTTTTAACTTTTGTGAAGGTTGCATATTAGATTGTATATAGTTGTTTCAGAGTTACTTTCAATAAATAAATAATATTTATATGGTGATAATTTTTAATCTTAATTTGAAGTTATTTGTATATTATGTAAAATAAGACTATACACGTGTTCACTGAGGTGACTTATAAATTTGATTACTGGAATAGAAGACAATCTGCTTCTTCTTTACGTTGGGGTACAGACTGGTTCGTTTATTATCTTGATCCCTTTGTTGTTTTACAAAAAATAGTTCTTTTAAGCAGTATTTTTAAAAAACACTTAAATCAAAACTGAAGAAATATGATGTAGTAGAAGTGTCAGTACATGTGCCAGATAGAAGGGGAGAGTGATGATATCAGCTGCAGTGCAGTTCGATGCTTCAGACAAGGGAGTCAACGCTTGTCAATATAAATGTCGTGAGAGAAGAGGCTTGCATCGTCACAGGAGTCTCAATATGCGTTACCGCACATCCAGGAGACGGACCCAATTCTTAGTTCCATTTCCTGCATCGAGCTGAGCGAATACGGGAGGTTGGAAGATTGGAGAAGTGAGAAGAAAAGTCGCACCTGGCGTACCCGGCAGATTCCGCTTGCGTTTAACCGCAGCAGTAAGAGGCTGCCCACTTGAGACCGTGACGGTGGTGGTTGTGGGTGTGGGCGGGGTGAATGACGTTGGGGCATCTATGCGGTTGCCTGATGACACACTCACCTCACCAGCTGATGCGCTGGTTAGACAATGTCATTGCCTCTTCTTCTTGTTGCTCCTTCACAGCAGCGGGGAAGAGCCCAACGAGAGCGCAGGAAGAGTCTGACGTCCCAGAAAAGCAAGGGAGTGAGGGAGAAGGAAGAGGGGAGTCTAAGGGAGATGCAACGAAGCTGCCGTTCACAGCAGCTGACGACACCAAACCTGAGCTGCCGTGGGCGTGCTCTTTTCGCGCGCCATACTCTACCCTGTCTGCAACCCAGACTAGCGATCCTTCTGCACACGAGAGCGCCGTTGCAACAAACTTTGACAATTCCGCCACTCCCGGTGATTCCTTACCAGCTCGTCTTCTGGTTTCCGATCAATACCTTCCTATGAGCCCTGGCTACCACGGTAGGCACAAATTGCATCATCGCCAGCGCTTCTACACGTATTTCCCTACCCTACCGCCTGCAGACGCCGTCCAGGCTGCCGCTGCAGAACGATGATGCTACTCCTACCTCTTCGTCCGCCCCTAAAGAAACAAGCCAGAGGACAGGACCGCGGACTCTGCCGAACGAAGATTCATCTCCTCCGCCCTCTTCGTCCATGCCTGTGCCTGCGCCGTATGCAAGCCAGCCCCTGCGAACAGCACACTGTACCTCATTCTCAAGACACCCCCTCCCAGTGAACAAGGGGGGTGAGGAGGAGGAGGAGGGCAGAAACATACAGGAGCAAGAGAAGGGGGAAAAAGGAATCTAGCAAAATGAAGGCCCAATACTCATAAGATTACACCAGAAAGGATGGAAGAGAGGAAGAAGGGGGAAAAGAAGGCTCCAAAAACAGGCTTTCAACGATGACGACAAAAGTATGCGCAAGAGCAGGACCTGTCTGACCCGACCCAACCTGAAGTGATGAGGGAGGGAGGGAAGGTGGCGAAGGAGGAGCGGAGCAGAATAGAAGCGAGTGAGGACAGTAGAGGAGTGGCAGATGGGCAGGCAGCCGAGCGCAGACGACGGCGACGACGGCGACGACGACTTATGTTGCTACTACCGCAGTTGTTGATGTTGTTGTTGCTGCTGCAGCTGATGATGCTGCCAAGGATGCCCATGGGCTGAACGGCACCAACGGGGGATGGGGGCCCAACACACTAGTGCTGGCTGGCTGGCTGGGTGCAGCAGCGGCAGCAGTGGTAGTAGTAGGAAAGAGGGTGGGAGGGAGGGAGAGAGTGTGTCGTCGTGTACCGTAGAGTATTGTACTTCTCTCTCTCTCTCTCTCTGTGTGTCTGTCTGTCCTCACAGCTGGAGTGTAACTTCGTATAATGAATGGTGCTTAAGGAGAGCGAGCGAGCGAGCGAGTGACTCGGTGATGGATTGACCAGCACTGGGTGCCACCGAGCACGACACACACCTCTACTCTCCTCCACTCTACTCTTCTACTACTCTACTCTCAAAATCTCTCTTTCTCTCGCTCTCTCTTCGTTGCAGCTCCAGCAACACCATCCTCGCAACTTACCCCCTTCTTCCCCTTGCCCAGTTTCCCCTGTTTCCCTCCTCGACCCCTCTTCCCTTCCTTCTCCTCTTTCCTTCTTTCCTCCCCCTTGCCAGCCAGGTCCCCACCTCGCTCGCTCCATTCCTTTTGCTACTATTCACTGCTCTCTGTTCGACTCTTTTTGTTCCATGCTTCTTAAAAGCATCCCAAATCTTATTGTCACCTTCCTTTGAGCATGGAGGGTGGTGCTAGACCTTGCTTGTGTGTATCTGTACCACTAAAACCTAAGGTGGGCTACATGTGAAGTAACATGTATTCACATTCAGCAAATATATTCTCATTTCTTTTTGCATTTTTTCAAATATGTGCGGCTTGTGCTATTTAGCATGTATGTCGCCCAGCAAGGCCCTTGTTGCAGGAGA